CCCTAAACCCTAGACCTTAAGCCCTTGACCCTAAATAGCACCCATTGCTCCAGGTGGTCAGCTCTGCTACAGAGTCAAGCCAGCAAAGCTCCAGCAGCTGAATGTTTGAAAGTTTAGGCTTCAGCGTTTAAGGTTCACGGTTTAGAGGGGTTTAAGGTTTAGGGTTAAGGGTACTTTCTCAAGATTGCTGCTTCTGGGCATTTGACGAACTTAGAATTCCCTTTCGAAGTCCTTGTTTGCACGCTTTATTTCGTTTCGTAGTGCACAAGCGGAGACCATTGACTATTGATGGAAATGCACGTAATTAATTATGCTCCTGAAAAAGTCGTTTTCTCGCCCGCACGAATTCGAGAATCAGCCCCAAACCCTCAAGTCTATTCAATCCCAAGCCCCAAGCCCAAAATTCTTCAAGGCATCGCGCCCGCTGATTCCAACCCTTGAAGCCCTCATCCATACCAAATCTTTCAGTTGATTAAAAGTGTTTCTCAACATGTCCCCATATAACCACAGTATGGGGGCTAAATCTAGGGTGAAAGTGGAGAATCTAAAAGAAAAGAACATGGAAAGCAAAATGGATCTGGGCCTGTATAGAGGTTAAATGGGGATAATTACCAGTGCTATGAATAGGGACCCACACATCCCCTTAGCATTCCCACGTCTGCGTAGATTTCTCAGATCCCCAACTGTCACTGTCAGTGAGGGGTTTAGGGTTTAGGGTTTTAGGTTTTAGGATTTTGGGCAGTTTAGGGTGTAGGGTTAGCCTTCCCCAGCCATGGAACCGAGCGCCCAGACTCTGCCAAACCTGCCACTCAAAAAGCAATCTTTGTGGCAACCTTGAGAACGATGTATTGCTATTGTTGTTACTCTTGCTGTTACTGTAGCTCCATTGTTGCTACCATTGCTTTTAGGGTATGATTTGTCAGATTTGGTCTGCAAGAATGCAACGTGCTGACATGAGCCAGAGTCTAAACTCCTTGAAAAGGGGTTATATATGGGATTATATAGGGACTACTTCAGGGGATATAAAGGGGGATACTAGGAGTTTAGACTATAGCTCACGAAGAGCATGTGGATCGTTTCAGAAGAAGCTCGCTGAAAAGAGGTTGCGCTGCAAGTATGCTGGCAGGACGGCTGCAGGTAGGTGCCCTGGTTTTCCCAACAAGCTAGCGACTAGGTCCATACATACCCTGGATAAGCTTTTAACATTGTTTACTGTTGGAATTACAGGAGATTCCTGTGGCTGCAAGGAACTCACCGCTGACTTATGGCTTCCAAACTCATACCCTCCCCCTAACATAAGCCAGACTCCTTTAAGTCCCCTGAACTTAGGCTTGATTTCCCACTCATACCCCTTAAAAGGTACAAATAGGGGTATATAGAGATATATAGAGGAGTGGATATATAGAGGAGTGGAAAAGAAAATTATGGAAACTGCATTTTTAGTGTTAATACTGTATGAAAAACACCCCCCCACTCCTAATATCTAATCTGTCCCCCAAAGCATAGGTTCTCTTTTGGGGAATGCGTAATGTTTCATGGATGGTGTGTATGCGCGCTTAATTTAAGATATTACCCCTACCTGGAACTACCCATGAACCTCCACGTACGCCTGAACCATTTCATCTACAGGGCGTCTTGTACATGGAACGCCACACGGAGCCCCATGAGGACAACTGTCCCATTTTTAATTTGCACTAGTTGGAGGGTTAGCTCGGGGGACGGTAACACCTATAAACCCAGACCCGACATTTCTCACATTCAATAATTCTTTACGAGGCCATTGAATCCTGAATCCTAACTATCAGGTCGGGAGCTACCACAGAAGGCTTACATGGGGAGGCTTGAAGGAATACAAGGGTTGTATACAGCTTGTATGGCTGTGCAGGAAGCTACGCGCCTGAAATTTGCTTGCATAACCGGGTTCCATGTTATTGTGGTGGCTGCAACTGCCAATCAAATAAAACCCTAACTTGACGTTTTAAGAATCCCTTATGAGGCTCCTAAACGGTTCGACTTTAGTTTGGAGGAGGGTAAGCCCTTGAGCCCTAGACCCGAAACCCTGTTCCATGTTAGTTTGGGGAAGGATTGTGACTGCAACTGCCAGGTGCCGAGCGTAAGGCTGCATTGGAAGAGGACGGGGTTTGAGGTTTGAAGGTGTAGGGGTTGATGGGTTTTGGTTTCTGATGAAAGGTTTCGATATTGCTAACCCCCACCCTCAGATGATGGTTGTAGGGTAATGATGTTGTGGGCTGGGGTTACAAAAATCGACGTATTAGTTTGGCTGTCTATGAATATTATCAGGGTTCCCACTTGTCACTAAGGCTTCGGAACTGCTAGGCGGATAGGAGGCTTGGGGTGGCATAGGCAACGGTCCTCGTTATGGAAACCCCCCAAAGGCACGCCTGATTGTGGTAAACCCCCATATACTGCCTAGTCTAAGGCTCCGGTGGGAGCTCTTACTGTGAGAGCTTATAGCCTCGCCTGAAGCCCTAAATGCCCAAACCCTCAAACCCTAAATTCTGCGCCCTAACAACCTTAATCGCCCAAAGCCAAGAACTTCCAACACCTGAGACACTAAACCCTCAAACCCTAGCCCTTAAACTCTAAAGCCCTAAACTTTCAGAAGTCTGACCCCTGGCAGGAGAGGAAAAAGCGGAAAGAGGCCAAGGGCGAAGGTCGGGGTAAAGCTGGCGTTCGAATCTGCATCAGGCGGGGAGAGGGGAAACGTGGGGTTAAGGGTTCAGGGATTAGGATTTAGGGTCTAGGGTTTAAGCATTAAGGTTTGGGGTTTAGGGTACTAATGACAGGAGTTTTCGTAATCCTTTTAAGCGGAAACAGTGGTAATACAGGGTTGAGGGTTAAGGGTTCTTGGTTGAAGTATTGGGGCGGTGCTGCCATTTTGTGGTTCAAAGGCTTTAGGAGGCCCCTGGAGGCCCCTAAAGTCCCTGGTAAGACTAAATACGTAGAATTGTTGAGAACAGCGGGAAATTTGGAAATTGACAATGAAACTGTGGTTTGTATGTATGGTTTAGTGGTAGAGGCGTAGAGGCCCATTTGAGTAGAATAGCTGTGTATAGTTTCTAAGATTAGACAGCCTCCCTTCCCTCATCGTGCATGTGTCCCTCCATATAAAAGGTCTCTTGTGGGGGCATTTTGCATTCTAGTGGTCGGAGGCTGTATTCAATATCTTCCATGATACCCTAGATAATATTGGTGTTTCCAGCCGTTTTTCCATTCTCGTATATACCGCCAAAAGCCTTTCTTTTGGGGGAGGGGGGGGTGCTCAATATTTGTTTCAAGGGATGAACTATTCAGACTTCTGCATTACACCAGTGATGGTGGGGTTTAGGGTTTGTGGGTTTAGGGTTTGGGGCTAGCTTTCGCGAGTTGCGTTGTTGGGGTTTTTGGGCTTTTGGGTCCGGGCTTGGAACTAGTAACGAAAGACTACAGTCCTTTGAAGAGCGAGCCTGCATGGGTTTTTGAGGTTTGTTTCAGGCGAGAACAGATGAAGGTTAATTAGTGCTGCCATTTCTTTATTCAAGTGCCTTAAGGTCACCCATTTTTTTAAAATACTTTTGCCGTTACGTGAAGCTTGTGCGACCTCCCAAAAGCTTATTTCATGGCTCTAGAGGTAAAGCTTAGCTTCTGAGGTAGGTGGTTGGGTTCAGGGATTCAGGATTAAACCCATCGGAGCAACCATGTGAGAGTGTCCCAACATATTCAAAATACCAGGATTCTGAGAAATGGTTATTCCCAAAATTAAGAGCCTCTTTTGGTTATTGAATATCTACGGCACCTTATATATTTGGGGTGCAAAATGAGATACTTCAAATTCCTTTGACCCTAAACCCCAAACCCTTCAACCCCTAAACACCTAAACCCTAAACCCTAAGCTAAACCCTAAACTAAACCCTAAACTAAACCCTAAACCCTTCAACCCCTAAACCCCTAGACCCTAAACTCTGAAATCCAGGAATTTAGCGGAAGGGATGACCTCTGAGAAGCTGCGAGAGCTTTTCGAGCCGCCAGGGCCTTGCTTCCACCTGTTTTGCTCAAGGCGCCCCAGAAAAATGCAAGGGGGTTGTAGGGTTTAGGGTTTAGGATTTAGGGCTTCGGATTATTTAGGGTGAAGGGTTTAGGACTGTTTTGGGTTTAGGGTGTTTACGTATAGGGCTTAGAGTTTGGGGCTTAGGATTACTTTGGGTGGTATTGGGTCATTTAGGATTCTATTGGGGTTGTATTGGGTTATATTGGCGTATGTAGGGGGTATATAGGGATCATTTACGGAAAATTTACGGTCTAGGGAGTGTTGCTCCTGCTTGACTCGCTTCAGCGATAGTAAGCGGATGTTGGTAAATCCTAAACTGTAAACCGTACGCCCTAGACCCTAAACCCTCAGCCCTAAACCTCGACCCTAAGCCCCAAGCCTTAAACCTAAACCAGAATCCCTAAGCCCTAAACCCCAAACCTTAAACCCCTGACCCTACAACTAAGGGACTTTTCGTGCCTGGGAGAAAAGGTCCCATAAAAGAAAAGACCCTACACCTAAGCCTGGGTTACGTTAAAAAGCTCATGGCAGAAATGAGCTGCTGTCAGTCTCAGCCTTGTTAAGGGACCCTTAACGGTGGACATAGGGATCCCTTTTGTAGTTAAATACTGTCTGTAGTATAATTACTCCATAATGAGAAACCCATGTCCATGAATTATATGGGGTAATATTGACAGTCGGTCATATAGTGTTCAGGGCATAGGAGGAGGATTCTACAGAAATTGAGAGATTAGGCGCTCGACAGCTATAGTGCGCCATAAATACTTGGGTAGGGATAATGTAGGGTTGAAGAGGATGTTGGTAATCAACCACCCAAGAATGGCCTCAAGGACTGCATGAAGGCATGCTTGCGTTTGGTCCACCATTCGTTCGGCAAGATGATATCGAACATCGGAGGGATGAGAGTTTCACCAGAAAATGCGATGAGTTTTCTTCGCGTCAATAGCGGGAAACAGCTGTTTTGGAACCATGGCACCAATCCTGGCGAAGCACCTCCAGATGGAAGCACTCGCGACGATTCGTTCTTGGCCTACTATGACCCAGGAAACGCTG